TGTCTTCAGTAATGTGATGGAGATTGAGGGGATCCGCCGGGCTGTTCAGTGGCAATTCGAGGCCAGGGAGTGACATGCCCAGGATTGCCAAGCTGAGGTAGGATGGCATGTGCCTATTGCATATTGTTCTTTTGTTGGCGCTGTCTGGGTGCTTTACGGGCGTGTTTTGTCTTGCAGTAAAGGCTGAACAGAAGGGGGCGTTGGATGCAGCCGACTGGGAGAGAAGGGTTGCCCAAGCGGAGGAGGCTGGTGGCAAAGACCAGTGCGGCCAAGTTGACGGCGAAGCTTGAAGAGGCGTTGAAGGAGTCAAATGATCTTCGTACTCAGCTTGCCTGTAACTTCCGTCTCAGTTTTGCTCTTATTGGTTTTGTGCTCACCTTATGGATTGATGTTAGTTTCCCTACAGTTGCCCAAGCCACCATCGAGTCGGATGCCGCCGAGAAGGAACAGCTTGCCAAGGACTTGAAGGACAAGACGACTGCCTTTGACAACTTTGCGAGCTGAGGTTGATGTGCGAGCGAAGAACAATCGAGTGCAATTTGAGCACTTTGAACGGGAAATGTGGATGGCACAGGCTCGGCGTGAGGAGCTGGTAGAATCGCTAGCTCCCACTCTTCGGCTGCTGCTTCCCTCCTGGCAAGAAGACAAGGATCCCATCCAACTGGCGGCTAAGCTGATACCTGAGGGGCCAGCTGCTTGTCGTCGTATGTCGGAGTCTGCAGCCTCCATCAGCGCCAACCATGTCCTAGCGGTTGTGAAGTACTCCCTCCATCTACTTTTGATAGTCATATTTCATCTTGGCACACAGACCAAGGATAAGTAATTCTACTTATCATCTATTTAAACATGCTACTAGTTATTCCTCGTAAACAAGCGATTCATTAATATTTACATTTCTCGATGCCCATGCAGCCAATCTTGTGTGGAAGAATGAAGAGTCACGCATTAAATCCGAGAAAGTCATTAAGAGGATAGGATGTTGGATTGAAATATGACTATCAAAAGTAAAATTTTCAGATTTGGAAATATGACTATCAAAAGTAGATGGAGGGAGTAACACTATCCCTGAATTGACCTGTCGATGATTGAAGAGGGGTATGCTGGAGACTGCTCCAAGGAAGACAACGACTGCCTGCTGGAAGAAGTTGGTCCTACTGCATCTGCCATGGCGAAAGATCTTGACCTGTAGGGCTGTGGCGATTAGTTAGTGATGAATGGTTGAACTCTAGGTGGAACTGATTTACGAACTTTGATCTGTGACTTTAATTTGTTGCTTTTGATGTCTTGAAGTCTTGCTTGTTGATGAAGTGCTATGTTGTGACTGGGTAAGCCGTCATATGATCTGATTGCAATAGGACTTCGGGGTATGGATCTGGGTGGAGTTCCATGGCGCGCGACCACTCAGCAAATAGGCTACCCAGGTGCGAAGCCCTCAGGCGGGTAGTGACACCGGGATGAGTAGAGCGCAAGGGCTCGGAGCCCCTAGGTGACTTGACTACTGGTGCGCGGAGCTCTAGGCAAAAAGGGGGCCAGGGCTCGGGGTCCCAAGGCGACTTGGTTGCCAAGGCGTGGAGCCCCTAGGCGAGTAGGGCGCCAAGGCTCGGGGCCCCGAGGTGACTTGGTTGCTAGGACGCGGAGCCCCCAGGCAAGTAAGGCGCCAGGGCTCGGAGCCCCAAGGCAACCTGGCTGCGAGGGCGCGGAGCCCATAGGTGAGTAGGGCGCCAGGGCTCGGATCCCTAAGGCGGCTTGGTTGCTAAGGCACGGAGCCCCCAGGCGAGTAGAGATATGTTTTAATTGCATTTTATTTCATGTTGATGATTCATATATAGAATTTGAGGAGATGCTCTATATTCCAGGAATTCGAGATTGCTTCTCCTTCCAATGTCGCTAGCCTGTAGGATCCTAGCCGAGTGACGTCCGTTACTATGTACGGGCTGAGATTATGCATTTGGGGCCAGGCATCTTCATCATGGCATATGCGTAGTGGGGGATGGCCATGAATTTGGCCATGGCTGGTCATCCAAAGATGGCGTGGTACGTTGTTTCGAAGTCGGCCACCTCAAAGACCACGTTCTCGGTGCGGAAGTTGTCCGGGCTGCCAAATGTCACCAACAGGGTTACTTGTCCGAGAGGGATTGACGAGGTGCCGGGTATGACCCCATGAAAGGGTGACTTGCTTGGCTCAAGTGCTGAAGCTGGGATGCCCATGTCCTTGAAAGTCTTAGAGAAGAGGATGTTGAGGGTGCTATCGCCGTCGACAAGCACACTTTTCAGGCGCACCCCTTGGATTACTGGGTCAAGGACGAGGGGGTAATGGTCTGGGTGTGGCATGTGGTCCGGGTGGTCTGATCTGTCGAAAGTGATGGCCACCTCGAACCATCAGAAGTATTGACTACGGACCAAGGAGCTTCTTTTATGTCTAAGGAAGTGAAGAGTTTTGCCGAATCTTATGGTATTAAGTTGTTGAGTTCTTCTCCTTACTACGCTCAGGCTAATGGATAAGCCGAGTCGAGTAATAAGACATTGTTGAAGCTGGTAAAAAAGAATATAGAGGAACACCCAAAGAAGTGGCATGAGGTGCTTTCTGAAGCATTGTGGGCGCATAGGATTTCTAAACATTGTACTACTAAAGTCACTCCTTTTGAGTTGTTTATGGTCAAGAAGCCGTTTTACCGGTTGAGGTAAATCTTGGTTCTCTTCGTTATATCAAGCAAGATGATTTCTCAAGTGAAGATTACAAGACATTGCTGGGAGACAACCTTGATGAAGTCATCGACAAGCGTTTGAAGGCTTTGGAAGAGATAAAGAAAGAGAAGAAGAGGGTGGACAAGGCGTACAACAAAAGGGTGAAAGCAAAGTTGTTTCAAGTTGGAGACTTGGTTTGGAAGACAATTTTACCTTTGGGTACTCGATCCAGGGAGTTCGGTAAGTGGTCTCCTAGTTGGGAGGGTCCTTATCGAGTATGTGGCATTGTTCGAGGGAACGCATATTTTTTGGAGACACTTCAAGGAGAGCGTTTTCAGCGAGCAATCAACGGGAAATACTTGAAGAAATACTTCCCGAGCATTTGGCAAGACGCTTAGGAGGTACTATGGCCAGTAATTGGATTATCGCCCTAAGACCAAAAACATGTTCTATGCTTTTAGATTCACGTTGTTAATAAAAAAGGCAGGGGGGCATGTGTTTACACCTAAATTTGGCACCTAGGATCGAAATAGGAAAAATTGCCAAAGTTTGGTGTCCTGCCGGTTTCCTCCAGAGAGGGCCGGTCTGACCGCTATGTGTTGGCCAGTCAGACCGTCGGGTGAGGGCCGGTCAGACCGGCGGTGTGTGGCCAGTCTTATCGGCAGATCCGAATCCGGGTCTGTTTCGCCTGATCTCGAAGTTTCCTTGCTCGGGAAGACATGTTCGGGTTTCCATTGGATTCTATCCCGAGTTGGACGTGGAGGAGGGCCTGTAGAGGGCAAGAACAACCCCTATATAGGGGGGTAAGGCCGGTTCATTGTAACAATCAATCAATCGAATCGTTTTTCATATTGCTTTTAGTTTTCTCTTAGTTTGTCCATCTTTGTCGATTTGCGCCGTAAATCATCTGCCGCCGCTGCGAGAGTGCGACACCTCTTTGTAGGTTTGTCCTGAAAACCTTCTGTTTTGCCCACGAGACGGGTAGTTATCTAAAATCGGCTCCGCTAGCCGGTTTAGTTATCAAAACCCATCTTGGTTTAGCTTTTACTAGATTGAGGTGGTTGGCGACTCTAGGATTACCGCAAGGCGTTTAGGTGTTGTGATCATGCTTGTCAACTTGTCACAAAAAGTTGCCAACAGCAGCGATCACTGTATACTATTCCTTGTATATCCAAGGGACCACATCGTCGTAGTTCTTGATCTAGCCCACCACGATGAGAAGACGTTGATGGAGTTCCTTATCTTGCTGAATTTGTAAGTTTGAAACATACCCCCTGCATACTATACATATTAGAAACATATTAGATGTAATGTTAAAGTTAGCTCAAACAAATATTTTATCTTCGTAGAGGACACGACTATCACAAAAGACATGGCTGGTTCGTAAAGGATCAAAAGAGAACAAAACTTCTCGTAAAGGCACGCTGGCCGATATGTGATCATATATGCATTAAATTAATGATGTGATTATTAGTTCTTAATACTGACGTGTTTACTGTTCTTACGTAGTGTTACAAGCAACCCAGCGCCACTAACCTATACGGATATTACGTGTAAGAGATGCTCAGAGTCTGTGGGAGATACATAACTGAGTTTACAGATGTAAGTGATCGTGCTCCTTACATATAGGAAATAGTTCATTTAAGTTGATTTTAACACATATCATTTTTCTTCTATTTTCATAGCTCCCGAGCATCCCATATACTGCAAACTGGTTCAACCAAAAAATGCTTCTCAACTTCTGCGTGAACTTATGCCGGATCATTCGTCGCGACATCAGTGAACTTTTTATGGACCCCCAATTCAAAAACCTAAAAGAGTGGGACAAAGAACATGCAATAGATTAAAAAAGATCTATTTGTGAGGGAGTCATAGCTTGTAACATTATGAACACTAGACATGTCACTACTTTAATGTGTACATGTACATATGCTATCTAATTATATATATGGATGTTTGTGATTGAGCGCGAATAATTTATATATAACTGTACCATTCAAAAACACATACACAAAAGAAAAAGAGTAGAAGTGCGTAGATCTTCCCAAATGGTTAACATGTGTTAGGGTAACTATACGAATCTATTATCCCGTGCGATCGCTCTAGCACATGCTAGCCTACTGGGATTATCGATTATCCCGTGCGGTCGGTATAACTGGACCGTACAGGATAATCGATTATCCTGTGCGGTTTACTTAACCTAACCACACGGGATAATTGATTATGCCGTGTGGTTGGGCCGCCCGCACTTGAAAATATGGATTTTCGCAGAGACCTGAATGCAGACGGACAAGACCTCCGCACGGAAAAGGCCATTTTGACCGCACGAAAAAAATCTTTTTTTACTAGTGGTACTTGTTCTAATTACACGCAACTGCATCAAAGTATGCAACATCGCAGGCAATAAATAAAGCAAAACAATCTTGTCGAGTGAGTATAATTAAATCAAATCCCATTGTGCTTAAATTACATACAAAACGTACAGTGTTCATCCTGCGATAAGCCCGTGCTGTAGCTATCTGCCCTCTACAACTGTTACAGTCCAGCTTCTTGCGCTGTTGGACCGGCTGGCCTCCGTGTCGTCGCTGAGGCTCCTCCCCGTGCAGAAAGCAGGCTCGCACGGCTCCAGCAGCGCGGGGCTCTCGCTGCTCAGCATCATGGTCACCGCCGACATGGTCGGCCTGTGCCTCGGCTGCTCCTGGACGCACAGCAGGCCAATCTGGATGCACCTCAGCACCTCCGTCACGTTTGAGGAAGTGCCGGCGATAGACTGATCCAAGAACTCTAAGCTCCGACCTTCCTTCCACAGCCTCCAAGCCTGAAAACAGCAGCGAATTTGTCATCGTTCTCCTTAATTTGTCATACGTCAAGTTTATTTGTGAAGTTGTATATATATGTAAGAAGAAGATTGAGAAACGTTCAGAGGTTTTTCAGCTAGCTTTATAAGGTGGTGGATTAGACAACCTGGGTTTGAAGTCTCACTCTTTTAATTATTTGATATTAGGTCATTCCCTAATGTTCACGTCTTTTATATGTAAGAAAAGATTGAAGGAGGCATACATATCTAAGGAGGTTCAGGTCGAGCTCATTGTGGTAGAATCCTCTGTTCTTCTTGCCACTGACAATCTCCAGTACCAGGACGCCGAAGCTGAAGACGTCAGATTTCATCGAGAATACGCCGTCCATCGCGTATTCAGGAGACATGTATCCGCTGCAACCACGAGAAGATGTAATTAGCATAGTGCTTTGCTACACATTGCTGCTGAAATTAATTAATGCATCAACTTACTATGTCCCAACTACTTTCTTGGTATATGCACTAGTCTGGTCAGTTCCAAATATTCTCGCAACACCGAAGTCTGAGATCTTGGGGTTCATGTCTCTGTCAAGCAAAATGTTGCTTGCTTTAAGATCTCTATGAATTATCCGTAGCGCGGAATCTTGATGCAGGTATAGTATTCCCCGCGCGATCCCGTTGATGATATTGAATCGCTTTGACCAGTTTAAAATTGATTGTTTCTCTTCATCTGAACAATCATTCAACAAGCTGACGTCAAGATTACATGTCATGTCAGTAAAGGAATACAATAGGCATTAAGATCAGAAGTTGAAATGGCAACAACTCACTGAACAGGAAAGTGTTGAGGCTACGATTGTGCATGTACTCGTAGATTAGCATCCTCTCTGAACCGTCAATGCAGCAACCAAGTAGCCTGACAAGATTCCTGTGCTGAAGCTTAGCTATCAGCTTGACTTCATTCTTGAATTCGCGGAGACCTTGCGTCGATCTACGTGACAGTCTCTTGACAGCTATATCTTGTCCGTTGTCAAGTCTCCCCTGCAAAACTTATATATGTCACCAGTTAATTCAGAATTACTAATCAATTAAAATCTGAAGATGCCGATCATATGTTTTGACAGTCCTAACTCTCAAGCTCAAACAATACATTACCATGTAGACAGGGCCAAATCCTCCTTGGCCAAGCTTGTTATCAGCTGAAAAGTTGTTGGTGGCGTAAAGAATGGTTTCTATAACGAACGACGGCAGATCCAAATCCTGGTGATTTCCCTGACCAGCAGGACGCATGGAATTGTTGTCCTGGGCATCGTTGGATGCAGCAACATGGTTTCTTTGCCAGAAGGGAGTAATCTCCCAATTGTTCAGTGCTGAAGCAGTATGGTTTCTTTGTCCGAAAGGAGTAACCTGTCCATTGTTCAGTGCTGATGGGATCGCCTTCCTGTTCTTCTTTGCCTTGATGACACAAATGACAAGTCCAGCTAGAAGCAACAATAGTGCGACAACGGATGGGACAATGATTTCGACGAGCTTAGCTGTCTGTGAATTGTCTGAAACAGAATTGGTGGCTGCAAAATTCACAGAAAAATTGTTCAGTGGCCTACTGGAGGAATCTCTTTTCTCAACTTGCCAATCAACTACCTAACTTGATGAAAGTGGAAGTAATTGACAGTTATTTGCAAAAGCCAAGGCAGGTTTCAGCATTCAATTGACCAACAAGAACCAAAGAAAAATGAATCTGATTTTGATGTTCTACTGATCCTTATTGGCAGCAATCGTCTACTCCAACCTAATTAGTTCTAATTCTAAACGGTTAGCATTAGTTAATATTTTTCTGATATTCTTGTTACGTTGGCGATAAGGAACTGAATTTTCTTTGGGGATAAAAGGTTGATCAGTTGGAAGTCAGGTACAGAAAAGGATTGGAGATGAGTACACTGAATATGAAATGGCAATACATGCGTTTCTTTTTCCAACAGTGAACATCAATGTGGTTGGACCTAACAGCAGCTCGATTTAAAACCCAAACTATTATGTAGAGGTTTGGGGCTTTGACTTTTGATGTTTAAGTTTGATCAGCAAGTGAGAACTCTGAGAAGAAAAAAGAAGGAACTTTTAACTAGCTGCGCAAGTAGCATTGCCCTAAAATTTTGACCAAGTACGCAACGTTTATAAGAAGTAAACGACAGGTATGCACTTTAATTACATGAACAGCGGAAACAAGGCTTAGGTGGGGACAGAGAAACTTGTAAGCGTGCATAATGCAGCAGCAAAACGTCAACTCTGAATGCCCCGGAAAGCAAAAACAGAAGTGCGTGTAGTGTTCTCTACTCTGTTTATACTGATGACCCCTAAAATAAACTTATAGCTCAAAAGAAAAGAAAAGTGACAAAGAAACAATAAAACTTTTAATCTAAAGAGTAGTGAAAAATGACAAATGAAAGCACGGAGTCAGCAAAGTAAGAGTTGAAGAAGAGATGGAAGAACTCACGGAGATCAGACGCAGCCAGGCGGACGAACAGGTCCTGGCCTCCGTTGTCGAACTGCCTCATGTCAAGCAAATCGGCCGTCCACATGAAGCACCCCTTGGCGTCCGCGCTGGTGACGTTGGCACTGGCGTAGGCGCGGCACGCGCAGTTGCTCAGGCAGCTGAGCCGGCACTCCTCCAGGCCCAGCGCCATGTCAACCGTCGCGTTCGCCGACTCCGGCAGCTTCATATTCCTCGTCACGGCGAACCCGTCGCCGCCGGTACAGTTGAGCGCCGTGCGCCTGATGCACCCGCCGGACCCGTCACGCAGCGCCCATGCCTTGGGGTACCGCGGCTCGAACCCCTCCGCGCAGCCGCACATCGGCGACTGCTCGACGTTGCAGACGCCGTAGGCACCGCAGGCGCGGTAGGCCTCGCACTCGTCCATGGGGTACGACGAGAAGACGCTCCACGACCGCGTCGTGTCGATCCACATCAGCCTCTGGATCTGCCCCGACGAGTTCATCACGAACCGCGTCAGGATCGTCGTGCTGTCGTCCACCTCGTACCGGTAGTATGCCTCGTCGGCCGTCGACACGTACTGGTAGCTCAGGAGGGTGTTCGTCCTGAGGTTCGGCACGCCGGAGAACTGGTACCCGTTCCACGGGCCGCTGCCGTACGTCCTCGTGGACCACCGGTACAGGAAAAACTCCGGCGAGCCGCTCGGGTCGATCCGGAAGGAGTACTCTCCGGGGGACGGGTCATCGGCCGCCCTCCACGAGTTCATGTACCGGTCAAGGCCGGTGCGGAAGTCGATGCCAAGCTTCATGCCGGGGAGCAGAGTGTCGGTCGGGTAGTCAAAGCTCTGCCACGCAACGCCGGCGCTGGCGAACCGCAGCACGAAGTTGCCGTTGTCAAGGAGCTGCGCCTTGGCGCTGCCGGCGCTCAGCACAGAAGCCGACATCACCGGCGACGCCCACACGACCCTGCCTTGCCCGTCCACAATGGCAAGGCTCCCATTGCCGTTGATCTTGAGCGTGGGCGAGCCGCCGACCACCGGGCTCTGACGATTGGCGACCCACACGACGGTCCGCGCTAGGATGTTGCTGTACCATATCCCGAGGTACCTGCGCCCTGCCGGGGCGACGTCCGGCGTGAAGAAGCCGAGCGTGAAGGTCCCTCCGGCCGACACGATCGTCCGGTTGCCCGCGAGTGGAGCCTCCATGGTGACCGTATCGACGGACGCGGCCGGCGAGAGGAAGAGGAAGAGAACGGCCGCCAACGGTAGAGCGCGCCACGGCCATGTCACCATCATGTTTCTTTTGGCGAGGCGAGTTGTCTGTTCTTCTAAGAACGCGACGCGATGGGCGCGCGGGTTTACGCTCGTTTTGAGGAGCACTCGCGCGGCGAGGCCGTGTGCCCCTTGTGTTTCTTCCTTTTTTGTGTGTGTGTTGGGGTGCGGCTGGATCGGCGGAGTTGTGTGGGTCTGGACATGCGCTGGGCCGCACTGGGATGGACTCGTGCCTCATGGCCAAGACAAGGGGTCCGTCCCTCGTCTTGTTTGCGTGGCCGATGTGCGCCAGGCTTGCGTGGTTAGTTGGGTGGAACGGGTCGCGTTTTGGTTCTGTTGTCGTCCGTCTCCGAGGATTTGGTTCACATCGTACCGACTACCGCGTCTCGCGGTTTGGGGACTGGGCCTGGATTACAGCCAAATGGGCCGCCCGGGCCGGCACGACAGGGCCCGGGACGAGGTCATTTGGGCTGGTACGGCCCAACCTACACGCTGGACTGGGCCATGCCCACCCATGGGTTGCACACCAACGGCTCAGGCATGGCCCAATAAGACTCGGATCGTGCTAGGCCGGTTCGAAGGAACTATAGTTCATCGTGCTTCTTCAAGGAATAAGTCTATTTTTCGACCCTCGTCTTTTGGGCCGTGTCGTATCAGCCTCATCTTTTTGCTTTATGCTTATGCTTATCAGCCAAAATTTGAATTTTCAATATTAAATTTAAAGCTGATTTTGGGGTTTTTCATCTAAGTTTATGTTGGAGGTATACCATGAAGGGCCTTCAGCCGGGCCTGCCAAAACCGAAAACTTGGGCGACGGGCTCGAACCGGAGGCAAGCGACGAAGGTCGAAGAGGAATACCCCAAGGGCGAACACCACAGCTCGGGAGTACACGTGCTTCGCTGGACAAGGACCCCGTCAGGAGGCCACACAGGCGGAGTCGGTGAGGCGAAAGCCTCAGCCCGAAGGCATAGGTTTCGCCAAGGCACCAAACCCCACCATGAGGAAGCCCAGCGGGCCGTTGCGTCCCCGCAGGGAGATTCGCCAGATTGATGGGCCAAGCCATCTAACCCAATTGGGGCCCATACATGTAAAGGACACTGTGTGCCCCTAATAATGTCCCTATCATAAGGGTAACCATGTAAATTCCCCTGTAAAGCCTAAACCCTAGGGGAGAGAACATGTAATAGGATTATAAATAGCCCCTCTAGGCCATGTAATGGGGGATCTGACAAAATTTCGACCAAGTAATGCAATTGTCCTTTTTCCAACCACTGTTGAGAGAACCACGCCTTTCGGTGTGCGCAGTTGTCTATTCGACAACAGCTGGCGCCGACCGTGGGAACCTCCGAGCGAAACCATTGAGAGTGAGCGAAACCACTGATGCCACCGAAGAAGGTCGCCAAGGAGAAAGTTGCCAAGCAGAAGAAAGGCGGAAGCGAAGCTGAGATGGTAGCCGAAGAGGGAGCAGAGCCTTCGTCCTCTGAGGGCGAAGCCGGAGCAGCACATCTCCGATCGTGGCTGCCACCTCTCCCATCTTCGGCGCCCACAACTTCGATAGATGCGGAAGCGGCGAAGGTGGTGGCAGCAGCGAAGGCCCTCCAAGTTAGGGACGTAGTCTTGTCCTCACAAGTGCCAGGGGCGCCTTCAACCACAGCCTTCACCCAACCGGCTTCAACGTCAGCACCGATCACCACCTCACAAGCCAATGCCACTCTTGAAGCACAAGCCGAAGCTGACATGGGGGCCGTGCGTCAAAACATGGCCAAACTCCAAGACACGCTTCGCCAGATGCAAGAACAGCAACAAGCGTACAAAGCAGCAAGGCAAGGCAAGGCCAACGCCCAACAGTTTCATGCTCAGCCCCAAGTCATTCCTTCTTATGCCGCCAAGCACCGGTGTACTTCGTCAGGGCTGCCCCAGCCGTTGCCGTGCGTCCGACACCTCAAGTGTTCCAAGCACCGATTCGCCCGGCGGCGCCTCAAGCCCAGTACCCAAAGCCTACTCATACACCGCAAGCATTGATGGAAGCAGCTTCGACCTTGCAAGCTCAATTCCAAGCTTTTGTGCAGCAACTCAATCAGCCCCACAACAACATACAAAGAGCTTCGCCTCCGGTTCAGACTGAGGGAAGCCCAAGTCAAGCTGCATCGGCGGGACAGCTGGTGGGGCAGTTTGCCCCGCCAAGTCAAGTTCAAGGGTCTTCGCCTCAAGGTCTACCTTCGCAGTTCGACCCAAGCACAATGGTCCAAGCACCAACAACTTTTGCACAAGCCGTACCTCCAAGATACGGAATAGCCCCACCACTAAATCAGGCCTGGAATCAAGCCATATTTGATCCAGCCACGGCAGTGCAAGTCACTTCGTCAGACTAGCAGAACCAGGCAATGATGTTCGGCACGGCGCATCAGTCGATGTCTGCAGCGCAACCACTTGTGCAAGCTATGGCTTCATCGTTCGCGCTGCCCTACCCACAGTTGAATTGGCCTGCTCAGCAAGGGGCTATGATCAAGTCCGGGACCGAAAAGGGTTTGCCCCTCAGCTGGGGAATCAAAAACCATCCCATCCCACCCCAATTCAAGTACCCTCCAGTCCCACAGTATTCGGGAGAAACAGATTCGAAAGAGTTCTTGTCCATCTATGAATCTGCAATCGAAGCAGCTCATGGTGATGAGAATACCAAGGCGAAGCTAATTCACCTCGTGCTCGATGGCATAGCCAGATCTTGGTATTTCAATTTGCCTGTTAATAGCATTTACTCATGGGAGCAATTGCGCGATGTTTTTGTTCTTAACTTTCGAGGTACCTATGAGGAGCCGAAAACTCAACAAGACCTTGTGGGCATTCACCAAAGGCAAGGGGAATCGACAAGGGAGTACATTCGCCGGTTTTTGCAAGCACGATGCCAAGTGCAAGATATAACCGAAGCGTCTGTGATCCATGCTGCTTCGGCCGGTTTGCTCGAGGGCGAACTCACAAGGAAACTTGTGCGCAAGGAGCCCAGAACACTTGAACACCTCTTTCGCATAATTGATGGATATGCTCGAGATGAGGAAGACACCAAGCGAAGGAGAGAAATACAAGCCGAATATGACAAAGCAGCCGCGGCCGCAGCAGCCGCCGTCCAAACCAATACCCAAGCTCAGGTCCAAACTCAAGCTATAAGTTCGGTACCAATTCAGGTTCAACCGGCACCCTTGGCAAACCAAGTACCGCACCCCAGGCCGAACCAAGCACCTATGACATAGAAGAAATTCAGGACTGAATGAGTAGTAGGCTGCCGAAGTGCTTTTTGCGTATTTGCGCATATGTTCCAGTGCTTCGACCAATAGAGCTCCGGCCAAGCCATCTCGTACTAAGGAGGAAGGCGAACCCTGTGGTAGTCGGGAAACTAGAATCTAAGTGGGAAGGACCATATTTGATCAAGCACAGGTCTCAAACGGGCTCTTTTTGGCTGGCAACACTAGAGGGTGAAGAGTTCGACCACTCTTGTAACTCCGCTTCCCTTAGACGGTTCTATGTGTAAAATGGGTGGCACCCGATTCGCCAATTGTAAAAATGTATAAATGATGTAAGCCGTTCGGCACCAAAAAAAAAGAAGAGGAAAATAAAAAAAACTGGACGTAGGGCTATTATCCAACTTGGAGGCCCGAACCAGTATAAAAATTCTCGTGTCTTTTCGCTTTCTTTCTTTCTCTGTGGATGGTGTCTTCGTGGAAAAACCCCAAATCAAACGCCTGATCAGCGAACGCGCCAGGAGGGCGAAACGAATCGGTCGAAGCATGGCTCACCGAACGTCGAAACCACGACAGCTTGAATTTTGATAACACAAGTCAAAACATCGTTGTACTCGACTTACGCATAGGCCACGATGCTTGATAGCATGCCTGCCATGAGCCGAAAACGGAAGAGCAGAGCTGGGAAATAAACATATCTTTTCGCCATAGCACACAAAGGGGCTGACATGTTTCGACCTAACGAAAGCATGATTGTGACTATGCGAACGATAGCGTGAAGATATGTCCAAGAGTCCACAGAATATCAAAGAGACAAAATTACAACTGATCTGTTGTACTTATGTTAACAAACATTACAAACATATCACATCATCATTTACACCTGCGCCCGCAGTTGCGTTACAAGTCGACGAACTAGATTCGTCGTCACTACTAATAGCGTAGACAACCCTTAAAGGGGACAGAGGTCAGACGCAAACTAAGCTGTAACGACGGAGAGAAATCGCCTCTTGGCGAACCGATCTCTTAAAGTTTCACCAGAAGTTTGAACTATTCTCGCGGCACGAAACGCGATGGCAATCATAATCCTCCAAGGTTTGACCTGGATGTGTACGCATCCATTTAGCGACCTTTACACTCTGGTAGCTGTTTCCATTTATTAGCATCTCACGGTAAACAAGCCGAAAAGGACACTTCATCTTTGGCAAGCCTTTCACTGCCACGAACTTCTCGTTCTTGTTTCGCCAATTATTGGCGAGGGGCCGGACGCAAACATTTCGGCCACAAGCCTGCTAGAAAAGCACAAAGAAACAAGTGCAAAAAGGGAAAACACCGACGAAATTAGTCCCTCTTTCCAACAATAAAATTGGGGAAACATTAATTTTTTATTAGTTGAATAAAAGTCATAGTGGCTACAAGATGGAAACGGCTCAAGACCAAACATGCCAAATGCCTATATACATAAGAAGACTACCAAAAAAGCCTAAAAGGCCAAACAGAAAAAAGCACACGAGGGCGAAGGGCCTCACACCTCAGGGTGGTCTTGGCTTCCATCGCCTTCGCCCTCGTGTTGGGCAGCCGGCTCCGATGGCTGGGGATCCCCCCCAGTGTTAGCTACAGCGGCCTCCTCGTCCTTCGCAATTCTTTCAAGATTTTCGCGAAGCCAAGTCTTCGCGCAATCTCGACCACCGTCCTCCTAGAACCCCTTTCGAAAGGCCCTTAAGGCCGCCCCGGAGCACTCCGACTTCTCGGGCCAATCCTCCTTCACCCAATCGGGAAAATCCTCAACATGGTCGCAACTATGCGCGTGGAGCAGGCTAAGTACGAAGCCCGCCGAAACACGCGCACAACAGTCTTCATAAGCACAAGCCACATCGACAACCGAGTCGGCCGCTTCCTGCGTCCACTCGGAGAAGTCGAATGTCGTCCCATCGTCACTTGGAGCGCCCTCCGCACGAGCGCCCAGGTCGTTGAGAGCTAGCTTGAGGGTGTAATAGGCTTGCTTGGCGGACTCTGTCGCCGGCACCAAAGTCGCAGTAGCAGCTTCGGCCGAAACAAGACGGGCCTCAAGACACCTAATCTTCTCCTCGGCCGCGGCAAGCTGGCGATCCCTTTCGGCGTCCCGCTTGTTCGCCGCCTCTAGGTCGGAGCGAAGAGATATGTTTTCTCCGGTGAGAGCCTTGTTCTCCGCATTCACCTTTCTTAGGGTATCCGCCACAACGCGTCTTTCGTTCTCCTTGTGGCGAAGATCCTCCTCGGTTTTCCGGAGGCAAAGACGGTACCCGTCCAGCCTCTCCAAGGCAGATTTCTTCGCACTCAAGTGCGCGACGAGGCCCTAGACAAGGGAGACCAAATCCGTTATGGTGCGACATAGACGAAAGGAAAAAATTCAACAGACAAAAATATTCATACCCGCACAAACAAGCTCTCCACAGCTGCGCAGCTTTCGCCAAACTTGTTCAGTTCGGTGAAAAGCCCAAGGCCGTCGGACGGTGTGATAACATGGCACACCCCACCCACGAAGGGGGTGATCTCAGGCCGCGTGGTGAAATCCGCGGGAACGAAGTGTGGGGAGGTAAGATAAGCGTCCGACACGGTCATTTCGACCATTGGAGCTTTCCTTTCTCGCTGACGAGTTGGCGAAGGAACCGCCTCCACCCGCTTGACCCCGGAGACATTCGCCACAGCGGCAGGTGCCGAGGCACTTTTGCTCGTCGCCGCTTCGGCGTCACTGGCAGGCGGCGGGGACATGCGCCTCCCCCGAGGAGGAGCGCGCCGCAGAATCGGCGAAGTGGGCGTCCCGTCGGACCCTTCACTATCCGAAAAGCCACGGCCAACTTGCACAACCTTCCCCTTCTTCTTCTTCCTCCTGGCGGCTGCTCCCGGCTTTGCCGCAGTGCTAGAAATCGCCAGAAGGGTGTTCACCACAGCATTGTCCTGCGGGTGCGCAGGCGAAACATGAGAGCCCGCCCCAGGTTTCGCCTGAGTCGGACTAGTGGTGTAACCGTGGGACCCATCGTCCTTAGATCCGGCCTCCCCATCATCTTCTTCTTCCTCCTCATCGTCACTTTCGGCCGTACCCTTCGCGGCGCAACAAGTTCGCACCTGGCCGCCCTTCGCGACTGCCCGTTTGCCTTCTTCGATGTGCCGACATCGTCGTCACTGGCCTTGGAGGGGATCGATCGACCTGGCAATTCGCCAGGATGAACTCGGTTCACCCGACCGTCGGTCTGACGCTGGAGCAAGCGGGCGAATTCGGCCGTGGTTAGGGCGCCAAGCATTTTCGACGCCTCCGTTTCGGTGTCCTCCATGGTGCGAACTAGAAAAGAGAAAAAGGAAAACGATAATTTAGGCCGAAGTATATTTCCATAAAAGAGAATATAAGACTCAGAGCAAAAGCGAAAACTCACGCTCGGCCCCAGTGGGGAGAACAAGGCGGGGAAGCCCGAGAACCTCTTCGCCCTCGTTGACGGAAACATCCCAAATACAGGCGAGGGGGGAGATCCGAAGAAGGCAAAACTCCTCACAAAGGTCACGGGTACTTAGCCGCCGTGCGACCTTGCAAAGGACTCGAGGTTTCCATCAACCTCTACGTTCAGCTTCGCGATGATGGAGACGGTAGAGCGCTGAAAGTGGAGCCAATTCGCCTTGACGTCTTCCGCAGGGTAGGGGTTGGCGATGTAGAACCACTTCTGCATCCAGTTCCTCTCCCAAGCGTCCGAACGTTCCGGCCGCAGCATGAAGTTCACGCAGCGGAAGACACTTTTTTTTAGTCCGGCCGGCGTCTGCACGTCTTTGGTCGTGGCACACGCCGTAAATAGGACGGCAAACAGCTCGGCGGTGGGAGCGAACCCGCACGTTCGACACATCCAAGCGAAGACAGCCAGCTTCGGGAATGCTGATGGACTGAGCTGGGGAAGCCTAACCTCGTATGTCGCCAGCACAGATGACAGGAAATCATCACATGGGAGACGAAGCCCGGCGGTGAAGTAGGCGGCGAAGACAACCATTCGCCCATCGCCAGGCGAAGGGACAACGGCTTCGCCCCCACATGTCCCTTGGCCCTCCGCAAGAGCACCGGAGGAAACTAATTCGGCTAAGTCGGCCTCCTTGACAAGTGATCTGCCAAGGAAGCATGACCACCCGTTGCCAAGGCCGCCAAGGTCTTCGCCAGTCGACCCGGCCTTGGTGGGCTTGCGAGGAGCCATCAGGTCCGTGGCGAAAGAAGGATTGAGAAGCGAAAGAAGGCGAGAAAGTCGTCGAAGCACGAGAGCACAGCGGTGGCAAAAAAGCTAAGGTGCAAGCAAACGCAGAGAGCGCAGAGCGTGTTAAGCGGTAAAAAGTGAAGAGCTGAGTGGAAAAAGCGGTAAGCCGGCCCGGGGTTATATAACCCCGTTGCGAGACCGTTTGGCTGCCGACCAATCAAATCCTGACACGTGTCCAAGGGCAGACGAAACGGTAAATTCCCATTAGGACCAGAGCCGAACAGAAAAAGGCCGGGTGCGAGAAAGGAAAGGCCCACGGGGCCCATTACTATTCATAGTAACACAAAGAACAGGCCAACCCCTTCGACACTCTTCCACGAACGTAGGAAGGAAATTTTCCTCATGAATTTTTTGTTACCATGAGAGCAAAATTGTTTATTTTGCAGGCACACAAACAAAGGTTTCGGCAGGAACGTCGGCCGAAAGGGGGTGCCTCGCGGTATACCATACGATTTACACGGTCTCGGCCGAATCTCCCTACTCATCCTTGCCTGTGAGGGGCTTGTTGGAGGTATACCACGAAGGGCCTTCGGCCGGGCCTGCCGAAACCGAAAACTTGGGCGATAGGCTCGAACCGGAGGCAAGCGACGAAGGTCGAAGAGGAATACCCCAAGGGCGAAGACCACAGCTCGGGAGTACACGTGCTTCGCTGGACAAGGACCCCGTCAGGAGGCCACACACGCGGAGTCGGTGAGGCGAAAGCCTCGGCCCGAAGGCATAAGTTTCGCCAAGGCACCAAACCCCACCATGAGGAAGCCCAGCGGGCCGTTGCGTCCCCGCAGGGGGATTCACCAGATTGATGGGCCAAGCCATCTAGCCCAATTAGGGCCCATACATGTAAAGGACACCGTGTGCCCCTAATAATGTCCCTGTCATAAGGGTAATCATGTAAATTTCCCTGTAAAGCCTAAACCCTAGGGGAGAGAACCTGTAATAGGATTATAAATAGCCCCTCTAGGCCATGTAATGGGGGGATCTTAAAATATTTCGACCAAGTAATACAATTGTCCTTTTTCCAACCACTGTTGAGAGAACCACGCCTTTCGGTGTGGCGCAGTTGTCTATTCGACAACAGTTTATTTTTTAGTTTTTTGCTTTTTAGATCGCTAAGAACATGTATATAAAAAAATTATTCACAAATTACTTTTCGTTTGCAAATATGTCGTTTGGCTTATTCCACGAATAAGCTAAAGGGTGGAGCTCTTATATGGCTAAAATAAGTCTATTTTGTATCCCTCATCTCTTTGTGTCGTTCCTTGTGTTGCTGAATTAAGTCTATTCTTGGTCCCCACTATTTTTCTTCCTGCTCATTGGATCGTGCCATGCCGGGCCGTCTCACCGTGCCAAGGCATCGGCCCAAGCACGGTCTAACTATTGAGACAGCCCGGCACAGTGCCAACACTAGTCGTGCCGTGCCGTGCTTGGCCTAGGCCAAATGGCCATACCGTGGGCCGGTCCATGGGCCTCGGGCCTTATGGCCATCTATAATTACAATCTTCTTCTTCTTCTTCTTCTTCTAGTAGTAGTAGTTGGTCACAAGAGTCCAGGCTAGTAAAGATCTCACTACAAAGGGAATATTAGGTGGTAATTAGATTAGTGCTAATTAGTATGACGCCCAAGATTCTTCTATTTATTTTTCTCTCTCAACACGGTGCATCTATCCTATAATTCATCAACTCGGTTTTACATCTTTATACTTCATTCATTAAATCCAATGGATGAAAATCGTCCAATCCGACGCTCAAGATCGTCGCGGACCCTCTCCTCTCCCCCAGCACGTGCTCCGCATCCACATCTCATCCGCGCCGCCGCGCGTCTCCCCCCCGATCCCCTCCCCTCCTCCTCTCTCTCTCGCACAACCACCGCCACCACCACCCTCTATGCCCCGCACGCACCCCTCTCCCCTCCTCTCTCTCGCACACCCACCGCCACCGCCGGCGTCGATCTGTCGTCGATTCCCATCTCCAGATCGACGCCACTAGCGCCCCCTCACGCCGCAAGAACGCTGTCGCCTCGGCTCATCGATCTCCGACAACGCCGCCGCGCGCCGCCGTCGATCTCCGCCGCAAGAACAACGTCGCCCCGCCTCACCGAGCTCCTCCGACGATATTCCGCGTCAATTAATCTTCAGAGCAATAAGGTACCCATGCCATGAGTAATTTGCATGTTCGACTGTAGCGTTTAATTTGTCAAATTTCCATACCCGAGAGGTGGTATAAACAATGTTCCATTCAGTTTGTCAAACACCGCACTAGGTAGTAAATTTTCAGATTGTAGTTGCATGATCATATATATTGTCGGTTGAAGTTAGATTGGGAGGGGTATTGATGCTTTCTGTGCATGAATGAACTTAAAAGGCTACAAACTAATCTGCATGCCTACTATTTTTTTTTGGTTGGTACAAAATGCTTATAGTTGTCTGTAACAACTTGCTAAATTTGGTAAGGCAGGGACATCAATTTCCACCTTGCTGATATCGCGGCACCGTTGATACCGGTCACCGGAGAGCGTCTATTTCACCTGCACTGCTCCTGTTGTCATCCACGACCACACTGCATCAATGTCCTCGACCTCTACCTGTCGCTGACGACCATCCAGGAAGGTCGCCCTCGCAGCGTTCTAAGCTGGGTTCCGTCCGTGCCCACCATTGAGGTAAACTACTATATATATAGTTCTTAAAGTTTCATAATTTACACAATGGTGTTAGATTGCTGGACATGATCTGGTTTGCCACCACTGCCCATGCAGTAGTAAATATATCAATGTCCTGACAAGATATAGTATCTGATCAGGTTTGCTACTCTACTCAATGGGACTTGAAAATGTTGTGAAATCTCTTTCAATTGCTGGTAGAAGCCTGGCATTATGCAATTTTATTAATATGGTGCATAGATTGAAGGAGCTATTTCTTTTCTCCCTGCAGATGCAAGCACTGACACAATATTCTTGCATTTTAAACACATTATTTATTTTATTGCTGGGTCGGGAGAAAAATTTGACGGACCAGAAAAATCCCCAAAATGAACTTTAGTTTTTAAGTCAAATATTTCTAGAAAACCAACTTCAGACAACTTTGCAACTGATAGGACATTAATAGAAAATTGAGACATTGTGTTGTGGTCAAGATCAAGAGACTTTCTAAACTACCGTGCATTTTTTTTACTAGATAATGCAAGATTTTCATTTCTTGTAATTTTGACAGCCATTTTGTCCAACTTTTCAGAATATCAGATTTTAGGCCTTTTAAGGTTTGTTTTCTGGTCACATTCTATGTCTCATATTTTCCATCACAATTTTGTCCCGAACTTTTTGGATCCCGCCTTTCTGTTTCTGTAGGTATTTGACAGCATTTTGATGCTTCGCTACTTCATGGACCTTTGCATGACCTTATTCAACATGTAATAAGTACTACCACAACGCATTTTATTTTGATGATGACTGAGCTAGGCTACTTTTGAGTTACTCACATTTGGATCTACAATTCTGCTGATCTAAATAATAATTGCTAATGTAACAGCAGTTCCAGGAGAATCTGACTTAGCAGATGTAAATATGTTTCTAACATTATATGAGATTTTCTTTTTATGCGTAGCTATGCAAGCCACAACTGAGTTCCTATACACCATTTCTCACCCAAAAGTTGTAAGAACTAGGAGGCACTTCAAGTTTTGAAGTTAATTTGAGCAGAATTTGTCTCCTGGATATATATTTTTTGGAGTAATAATCTAATCCTTTTTGAAAGGTGTATTTCTGTGCTTCTATCAAATCCCCTGCTGCTAACTGGCCACTTATGTGTTAGGTGCTCTGATAATTTTCATTCAACTCGTGTTTCCTTTTATGCCACTTTGTCCTTTGCATATAATACTGTACATTTCAGCAGTACTAGAAAAGTATAATAATCGTATTGGACAAACTGCAGATTGGATATACTAAATTGGAAATTCCGGTGAATATGCTAAATGTTTCCTGTAAATGCATATACTGATTTTTTTTATATACAGAATTATATACTGCAATGTCCCCTATGTGCTATTCTTTTCACCTTTACAAGCATATGCACTGCATTTTTCTATAGAGAGGGTATATGCTGCTTTATTTCCTATAGGGGTATAAACTGAAATTTATATAACAAATAACAGATTGTTTATTATCAAATCACCAAATGTGTACATTGTACTGCATGTAACAGAATCTCACTCCCTCTCAAGAAAAGGGAAATTATCAGCACATGCATAGGTTGTGATTAATGCCACATGCACTATTTGCTAGCTGAAAACCGTATATTTGCAAAAATATCCAATTTTGGGCAATATATTGGTGGTATGATCTCTTTGTTGGGATACGCGTAGGCTACGATAGCATAAATCAAAATTTTCTATCGCGTAAACCAGGAATCATGCAAGTATTAGATCATAGATCGTTACCACTCGACGCGCTGTGCAGCGGAAGAAGACGCTGAGAAGTCGAAGGAACTCTCGCGAAGTAGCGCGCGTCGATGTAGAGGAAGTAGTCGATCGCACCGGCTCGACCTTCTCCTCCTCGTGCGTTCTCCTCGCCGTACTCCCACGCTGATCAGCACCGTAAACCAGCGGCGCCTCTACCGGTATCCACACGTACAGGGACGGAACGTCACGCGCAGATGTGCTAGCACTCGTGCGTGGCTAGGGTTTTGCTCGGGGAGGGAAGTGACGGCTAGGGTTTCTCACATGATGCAATGCCTCCGCCGGTCACACTCCTCACGAATATATAGGATCCATCACTCGGGCCTCCAAGGCCCGTAGGACTCCTATTCGGATCCCTATTTGAAGTAAGCTCATATTGGATCTCCATCCAATCCCCTTATTCCGGCTGTAACCCGAAAACTCGTTTTCGGTCCACGCGTCAACAGCGGCCCCTAGCAGAACGTATTGACCCACCGGGCATACATAAAGATCATATCGGCTGAACCTCTAGTGTATACTTGTATGAACCCCTTTGCCTCACGATATCGATTAAGCTCAAGTCTAGATATGTGCCATCCTCTAATAGCTCAATCATTCACTCGAACCTGTTGATAGATTATATAACTTTATATAACTTGTGATTGACTCCTCAATCACCTTTGGCATGGCCATGCACTTCCATAATCTACAACAACGAGGGGCCCAGAGATATCTCTCCATAGGAGGGGCAAATCCCACCTTGATTATTCATATCCCACTACATGTTTCATAGCATATCCGAAAACTACTTTTATAACTACCCAATTACGGAGTAGCGTTTAGCAGTCCCTAAGTAAGCTACTACACATGTTGGGAACCATGATAATCTCAGGTCTAAGGATTTAACACCAACACTAAATGAGATCACTGATGACACAACACATATGGCTTTTGCAGTGTCTCATGTTGGGTATATCCAACAACATGTTCACTAACATGTGTCCACATTATTAATTTGGTATCTCTATACCATGATCCATGAGACATGATCATCAATTAATACATGTGCTGATCATCTAAACATATTTGTTCCACATATGATATTTGATCAGAGATCCTTTAGAAATAGCAACACATAACATAAAGAGTCTCATGAAAGAATCACATGTTCATCAACCAATAATGAGTTTATCTATTTCAAGGAAAAAAGTCGGATAAATATGTAAACATAGCATGTGATGCAATCATCTCTATGATTGCCTCTAGGGCATATCACTAACAGTCTCCCACTTGCACTAGAGTCAATCATGCACGTATCTTATACCCATTGCCCTAGTATGTGCCTCATGCTTAGGCTAAGGGAGTGGCTTTGTCAACGGATCTGCAACATTCAAATCTGTATGTATTTTGCATATCTTCACATCTCCTCTACCCACCATCTCGCGAATGAGGTGATACCGCCGTAAAATATGTTTGGACTTTTGATGCGATCTAGGCTCCTTGGCTTGCGCAATGGCACCACTATTATCGCAATAGAGGTCCATAGGGCTAGAGGCACTAGTCATCACACCTAGTTGAGAAACGAATTTCTTTATCCAAACAGCCTCCTTTGCTGCTTCAGAAGCGGCAATGTATTCGGCTTCTGTTGTAGAATCAGCCACTGTATCTTGCTTGGAACTCTTCCAACTCACAGCGCCTCCATTCAGGCAGAACACAAATCCAGACTGCGATCTAAAATCATCTTTGTCGGTTTGGAAGCTTGCATCAGTGTAACCATTTACAACGAGCTCTTCCTGTCGTCCATAGACTAGGAACATATCCTTAGTTCTTCTCAAGTACTTCAGGATATTCTTTACAGCTATCCAGTGACTCTCACCTAGATCTGATTGGTATCGGCTTGTTGCACTAAGTGCATATGAAACATCTAGACGTGTACATAGCATAGCATACATAATGGATCCGATTGCCGAGGCATATGGAATCACACTCATCTTGTTTCGCTCATCAGTCGTTTGAGGACACTGATTCTTGCCAAGATTAATGCCATGTGACATCGGTAAGAAACCTTTCTTAGAATCTTGCATGTTGAACCTCTTCAACACCTTGTCAATGTATGTACTCTGGCTTAATCCAATTAGCCTCTTTGATCTATCTCTATAGATCCTTATGCCCAGAATATATGCTGCTTCCCCTAAGTCCTTCATTGAAAAACTATATTTCAATGATGTCTTAACGGATTCAAGCATAGGAATATCATTCCCAATCAATAATATGTCATCTACATATAGGATTAGAAACACTAGTGCGCTCCCACTAATCTTCTTGTATACACAAGGCTCTTCTTCGTTTTTGACAAAGCCCAATGCCTTGACTACTTCGTCAAAACGAATATTCCAACTCCGAGATGCTTGTTTCAACCTATAAATGGATTTCTGCAATTTGCATATCTTTTTAGCTGATTGTGGATCAACAAATCCCTTGGGTTGTGTCATGTACACATCCTCATCGAGATTTCCATTGAGGAAAGCTGTTTTGACATCCATTTGCCATATCTCATAATCGAAATAGGCAGCAATCGCTAAAACAATCCGAATAGATTTTAGCATGGCAACTGGCGAGAAAGTTTCATCATAATCAACACCTTGAATTTGTCTGAAACCTTTCGCCACCAATCGTGCATTGTAGATGTGAACAGTTCCATCTACATCTGTCATTTTCTTAAAGATCCATTTGCACTCAATGGCTTTTACACCATCAGGTGGATCAACCAAGTTCCAAACTTGATTGACATGCATGGATTCTATTTCGGATTTCATGGCTCCAAGCCATTTCTCAGTGTCTGGTCCCACCATTGCTTCCTCATAGGTAGTAGGTTCATCGTTGTCTAACAACAATATATCACGCTGTCCTGAAGTTAACAACGCATACCTCGCAGGTGTACGCCGTATCCTTTCGGACCTTCGTGAAGCCGGTGCTTCCACAACTGGTTCAACAACAACTTGTTCAACCTGTTGAACAACATCTTGCTCAACTTGTGGTTGTGTGGACGTTGAAGCGTTTTCCGGTGTTTCCTGAATTTCTTTAAGTCGCACCATGCTCCCACTATCCTTTCTTGAAATAAACTCTTTTTCCAAGAAAACACCGTGTCGGGCGACAAACACTTTGCCCTCTTCCCGATTATAAAAATAATATCCTTTCGTTTCCTTAGGATACCCCACAAAGAAGCATTTATCTGATTTAGGTGTGAGTTTGTCCTATTGTAAACGTTTTACATAGACCTCACAGCACCAAATCTTTAGGAAAGACAAACTGGGACGCTTCCCTGTCCATATCTCATATGGTGTCTTATCCACTGATTTTGATGGAACCCTGTTTAGTGTGAACGCAGCTGTCTCTAGAGCGTAACCCCAAAAGCTTAGCGGCATATCAGTTTGGCTCATCATTGATCGCACCATGTCCAACAATATACGATTCCTCCGTTCAGACACCGCATTCCACTGAGGCGTTCCTGGTGGAGTGAGTTGTGGAACAATTCCACACTCCTTTAGATGATTGCCATATTCAAGGCTCAAGTACTCTCCACCACGATCAGATCGTAGATACTTGATTGTCTTGCCCAAATGATTTTGTACCTCATTCTGAAATTCCTGGAACTTTTCAAAGGACTCAGACTTATGCCTCATTAAGTAGACATAACCATATCTACTAAATTCATCGGTAAAGGTAATAAAGTACCCAAAACCACCTCTGGCAGTTGAGCTCATTGGTCCACATACATCAGTATGTACTAGTCCCAATAGTTCACTTGCCCTTTCACTTTGACCCGTGAAAGGTGCCTTTGTCATTTTGCCAAGTAAACAAGATTCACATGTCTTAAATGATTCAAAATCAAACGAGTGTAGAAGTCCATCTCTATGAAGCTTCTCTATGCGTTTCTCATTTATATGACCCAAGCAACAATGCCAAATAAAAGTGGGATTCAAATTATTAGGACGTTGCCTTTTTGCATTAATGTTATAGACTGAACATCCATCAAGATTCACAATGTATAAGCCATTCATCATGGGTGCATGGAAATAGAAAATGTCATTATAATAGACTGAACAACCATTGTCCACAGATCTAAAACCATAACCCTCTGCTTGCAAACAAGAAGTAGAGATAACGTTGTTACACAAAGCTGAAATGCAATAACAATTATTTAACTCCAAAACTAATCCTGACGGTAAAGATAATGGCATAGTGCCGACCGCAACAGCAGCAACTCTTGCTTCATTGCCCACGCGAATGTCCACTTCGCCTCTTGCTAAGCTCCTACTTCTTTTC